TGCAGTGCGCGAACCGCCTGCCACCTCCCCTGTTCCCCCGCCCCCGGGAGGCGCACCCCCCCTGCCTGCATCCCGCCGCTCCTCGCAGGGATCCCCGCCTCTTCTCCTCCCCGGGGACCCCTACCTGCACCCCATGTCACCCTTGTCCGTCAGGACCGTCGGGTTTTACCCAGCTTCTCGGGAAAGACCTGCCGCAGGGATCCAGCGTGCCCAGTTTGAACAAAATCTGTTTCTTTGGGGAAAACTAGGAGACTGGTTTGAAAATCAGATCCACAGTGGAGGCAAAATTCCGCCTGAACCTTGGAGTCAGTGCTTCTGCCTCCCCAAAATCACTTCCAGTTTGAACTGCTACTCGTCATTGCTTCAGTCCTTCAGGATCGCCACGGCAGGTACTCCCGTCCCTCCCGCACGCCTGGCACCCACAGGAGACATGTCACTGTCCCCAGGGTCCCCACCATGCCCCCCCAGCATGGGTGCTGGTCCCAGGGGCTCCCCATGGCACCCAAGTGCAGCTCCCCAGGGACAGGGGGGGCTGAGACCCCTGCCCACGTGTTGGGGCCCATCATGTCCCAGCCCGCCCTCACTTCTGGCCTGCCTTTCTTCAGCCGAGGGTGCTCAGTTTCTTCACTGCTGGATAAAAATGTCCAGGGTGGCTTTCTAAGCTGCCTCCTTTTCTTCCCAACGAGTTAAATTGCACCGCTGGCTGCTGGGTTACATCTGGGTTTTAGTGTTGTTTGCTTTTTCATTGGGGCCAAAAACCTGGAGGGCACTGCTAGGTACCTCCTGGCATCTGTATAAATCTCCATAAAATAAATAAGCGTGGATTGAAGCATTCGTGAATTTGGGGGGTGAAAGGTTTGGATGATTAAGCAGACCTTTAACATGTCACCGGGAGGAGGGATTAAGAGCAGAGAAATGAGGCTTGCGCTGAAAATCTCTCAGTATTATTTACACCTGTAATAAAATGTGGTTGAGCTGGTTGTGCCTTTAGCAAAAATATGTCATCTATTAATGAATTCTTTGTAAAGCACTTTGAAAATGTTTGTAAAGCCCCCAGTTAAGTGACCTCTTACTGTGTGTGTACGGCATGTGGCATGTGCCCGTGCTCCTGAGCATGTCCATCGCGAGCAGCTACGCCTCCGTACACACCTCGGGGCCTTTGCTTCTCCTCAAGGTCTCCCAGGTGCATCTCTGGGAATAAGACTAAGACTAAGAGACCAAGGCAGCGCTTAATGGCTCCTTTCCAGACACGAGATTATAAATCACAGCAAAACCCATGCTATGGAGTACCCTGCGCTCAGTCACGGTGGTTTTCCCCTCTGCCGTTCCATCACCATTGGGATTTTTCCACCTCTGAGATGTGGGAAATGTGTGTGTGAGCTGTACTGTGATGTTGTAGGGACTGATGGGCTTTCAGTGTGCTTTCCTCTAGCCAGATGGGTAGTGTTTTAATTGAGGTTTCATGAGCATAGATATTTACATAGCTCTCATCACTGTAATACTTTACAACTAGCTCCAATAAACAGTGCCTTTAACCTCACAGAATCCTTGTGAGGCAGACAAGTAGTATTATCTTAACCTTTTAAACACGCAGGCAGACAGTGTCACAGTCCCAAGGTCAGGCAAGGAGTCTGTGATGGAGTCAGTAACTCAACCATATCTAGAAAGGCCCATATTTACTCCCAAGAGTTGCCGTCCGTAACCAGCAGCGCTCAGCTGATATCTGGGTGGATGATAACGCTGTGAGCACACAGAGTGTGTTACATATGCCTGCTGAGCCATTCCCAGCCCACCAAATTTATCACCTACATCAGACAAGTGCAGGGAATGGGTGATGGGTGCTCTCCATACAAACACCTGAAAGCAGGAGGCAGAGAAGTTTTGGGTTTTTTTCTGTCCAAATTATGTGGGAAAGAAGACTAGAGGAAGGATCATAGTGACATTAAAAGCTATAAAACTTTGTCTTAGTATATGAAAACCCTTTTAATTTGCAGTCTCCTGCTGCACTTAGGCACTGAAGCAGAGTTTGCTGCTATCAGAGTAGGACCTTTGCCTAGTTTCCACAAAAAAAAAATCACCTATTGCATATTCAGAAGTTACGCAGCAAAACCCTCTGCCCATGGACCTGGTCCTTGGACTCAGTAAAGGGGCAGAGGGATGTTTTAAAGCTACAGCGAATGCAAATACCTTTTTAGAAGAAGAACTCTCCCCCCCCCCCCCCCC